TTTGCGCTACCTCATTTTTTATATGTACCCATATCAGCTCGATATGATTCAATTCACAATGATACGGTGGGGTTTTTAATACGGTGATGTTACGCTCACGTGCTATTTCATCTACTGCAAATCTGAGGTAGGAAGTCTAATGTTTGCGTACTACATCAAGTTATTGAACTTTTATCATGGATTCATCAAATTCTATATTTTTGCTTCCTAGCCAATCTACTATATCTGCCTTTCGAGATGCAGAAGTCGGTATTTTTTCCATACAACGGCTCTGATAAGGTGCATTGTCCATTATAATTACCGATTCAGGTTCTCCAAGGGTCAGTATAGAGGAAAATCATTTTTCAAACACATCCGAATTCATATCCTCATGATAATCGCCTGTTTGGTAGAAGTAAAGGCATTTAAACCAACTTGTAAGAACCCTGAATCACTTAATATGTGCGTAATAATGACGCGTCTTCCTTTGTCCGAAGGTGCTTTTAAGCTGGTTGAAAGTCCCTCATTAAAAGCCTGTCGCGTCTCGTCCTAATTTTTTTGCCAAAAGGTCTAAAATCACGAATTTTTTGTAAATATTATCTCCGCCATATCACTAGTTCGTCTCAGTATATTAACAAACTTTTCTCTTTACATACCGAAAATCCATTTCACGGAATCCTCTTTGTAATAACGGCATAGATTATTTTATTTGAAGTATCATCTGCGTTTGTGTTATTTTCCTGTTAAATAGCCTTTAACGTGGACATTTCGTTCCTAAAATAAAATCCATGAACTGTTCTAAGGTTTTTGAAGTGGTTTATTAACTTGAATTATTCGAAAAACCGTACGAGCCGATATTTTCGTTAAATCACAATACAATGTCGCGACGTCCTCTATAAACATATCGTCTTCTACGTAATCCCTCATAAACCGATTTAATCATTTGTTTTTTTTTTCACAGATAACCACCTCCTTTTATCTGATTTATTAACATAAGTACTTCACGTTGGTATTGATGCCATGTTACCCGACAGTACGCTCATGTAATACTTCTGACTACCTGATTTTAATATTTATTTTCACTATTTGTCGGCGAGTTTTAACAACGTTGCCGCATTGAAATAAGAATAGTACTTTCGACAAGGGTAACAATGTCCGCCCATTCCTCTCTTGACTTTCAGGTATACCTCAACGACACTGATAAGCTGCACGCGGTACTAAATAATAAATTTCGCAACAAGGCGAGTATTCTTTATCTAGTTCGAACTTATAGCAGATGTAATCGGCAAAAATGATAATTCGGAAGTAAATTTGTGTGCTAATAAATAAATAAATATATAGCCGCTTACTATAGAGTGTTTACGAACTACAAAATGTCTGCCCTGACAATCCTATTGAATTCAGGGTATAACTCTATAATTTTTGACACAGTTTTCAATAAACAAGTTCCAAATTTTATATATTGGAGCAAAACTACTATCTTTTTTACGTTCTTCTCTTGTCAAGAAGTTATCAAATCATAAATAATTGATCAAAAACTCTGTCATAACTATGCAATTTTTTTGTTTGTACGTAGCAAAACGTCGTCCAGAATCTGATCTGTAAAAAATTAATTTAAAACATATATGGGTTCTATAGCGTCTTTAGCTTACTTGGTTGGATCTGGACGAATATAAACAATATTTCTGGATACGACTTTACGACCTCCATCATTTATTGGTAAATTATTCCACTTATATCCGTTTTTACCTACTAAAGACTGTTTATATCATATTATAACAGACGATTTTTGTTTAATACGGTTATCAGTATATGTTGATTCTGATGACGGCTGCTGCGTGATTTTAATTCTTTTACGAGAGCATGTATTTCTTGTTTCTTTGTGAGTTTCTGCTGGTATATCTGCCCAGGTCTTAGCTAGTTTTGTGAAGACATTTTTCTTCATCCTGTGTAGGATCATAGTCTCTATCTTCAATACCATTGTCGCTGTCAAATGGATTTTCTAACTTCTCTAGATCATTTTCTGTATCACTTAAATCACTGAAGTCACTTTTGTTTATAATTTCCTCCAATTCTTTTTCAGCAAGAGGACGTTTTGGATTAACATTTGATTTTGCAGACATCTTATTTATACGTTAATAATAATGTAAAGTCTTTAGTAATTCTAATTTATTATTCTTATTTTAATTTACTAAAGGTTCAATATTTATAACACTCACAAATTTATCAAAGTCTTTATTACTACTAATTTATTTTATACTTAATAATTTATCTACGTGTAATACAATTTTGAACGCGAGCACGGACTTCTTTTTGACTAACTCCCCAATAAAAATCCCCATTATTATATGTAAAATGCCGTTATCTAGAAAGGTCTGGCGATTCCTCGATGACCTTCCATCCATTAGGTGACTTATGGAGTGGTCTTCAAAGGGTTTATTTAATTTCTGCCGGCAGGTAAACAGGTTTGAGCGCCGAAATTACTAGAAATAGAAAAGAATTAGTCATAATATATTTACAGTTTTATACGCCATAATATTTATTATCGTAACAATAACAACACATCACAATGGCAGCTAATCTGGAAAGCTCATCTTAGATGGCGCTAGTGTAGTTGGAGGTCACATCAACTGTCCAAATCTACATATTTTTAAGTAAATATTGCATTTACTTCGCTGTGTAGATTTAATTTGGGATAATAAGTTGCCTTAGTGTTGTGCTGTTCTTTTGTGCTCATTGAAAATATCAGAACACAGGTTTTTCAAAAATAATCTGATGAGAAAAAAGTGGATTGTGGCAATAAGAAGAGAAAATATGTGCGACAGAAATGCATTTACTCATATCTACAATAAACTAAATATTAGATATATATATAAAGGATAATAGTTGTATGCTTTATGTTAACAAATTTTCGGAGCAAAGTAAAAGATAAAAATTAATAAAATTAACATAAATACTATTTATTTGTCTTTTATTTTGTTATACAGATTACGATTATCTACTTCGGTAGTATTTTTCAGCCAATTTTATAACCATATACTACTCAAAAAACTCTTTGGCTGAGGTATTATTTCATTATGAATTAAATCATTTTTTCTACCTATAGAAATATATCTTATATCCTTTTTTGTTCAAGTGAAAAAACCACAGAACTCACGACCAATGACAAACATTTGAGTTTGCACTTGATTATAATAATTTTAATTTAATTTCAAACGTAATTCATAGTTCATTTCTAAATATGGCAAACTATCAGAACTAATCATTGAATAGGGGTAGTTAACTTCTAACACAGTTAGTTATTCCACAGGTCCATCAGGAAAAGCAGCTGAATAAGGATGGTTCAATGAAATTAAAAGTATACAGCTAATCAAATGGTTAATAGTTGCCTCCTCATAGCCGCGGATAGCTATTTTCTCACATTTTTTACTCCAATATGTTACACTATCAGTAAAATTAGGCATATTCCTGTATTGTTGTGGTCTTGGATTATAACAAAAGTTTGTCTTTTACTTTTTTGCACATTGCACACAGGAACTACAAAATTTATTTGTTCGGCTTTCTCTAGCGATACTTCCAGTCTGCTATTTTTTTTGGCATATGCCAAACTTGCTTTCATTTAGTCCAGATATTTTTATGTATCATTTACCACGATCTTTCAGGTTAGTAAAGCATCGCAACAGCAACATGGTTTCACACTGCTCTGTATCGATTTCCAACAATACATTAACATAATGCTTCAGTAATACTTTCATTCATGGAGACGATCAGTTTTACATTGTATGTAAGTGCTTTGGCCATTTCACTGTTGACTTGCGCTCAGTAAAAATGATATTCATCTGTTTTTGATTGACCAATAGCTAACAGAAAATTATTTTGCATCATACTGTAGTTTTTTCTGTGGACTACAACACACATGCTCATTCCTTCTGCTAATTTATAAATATATAGAAAATAGTTATTTATGTTGACGAAATCTATTAGAGGAAATTCTGAAGAGTAGTGAAATCCACATTAGTGACCATACAATGTCATGTCGAAAATTATATTTCGATCATATGCAGCCCAACCAATAATATAATATAAAATACCTAATCAGTTTCTGGATAGGCAAAGCAATGAACTTCTGGCAGCGACACAATATCTTTCATACATGTATAAAAAGTGATGATTTATAATGCTTTTTGTTCTAAGGCAACACAAAACTGTAATCAATGTATGGTAGGTAGCTAAAATTACCATATTTTAGTTACATGACAGTATTAGTTTAAATACAAATACATTACTATAATACTCAGACCAATATAAAAATTTCTATTATGGTCTGAGATGAACCAATGAAACATTCTCGCATTTCTTGTCAATTCTTTTATCAAGTCGTAAATATACCAATATCCGTATTTTTCTGTAATAATTTATTAAATCGCAATAATTACAACAAAAATACCATACAAACCCAAAGAATTGTCAAAATGTGTTGACCTCCAACTACACTAGCGCCGCCTAGCGGGAGCAACGGCGTACATAGCTGCCATTAACGTCACGTGTCTTTTACGTACAGAGTGTTATAATTACTACGGTCAAAGCGTAACCCAAACTAAATTCAAAGCGAGTATTCATTTGTTTTATTGACCATGAAGTGAGGATAGCATAGCCCACGCCCACGCGGCTAAGCATTGCCACGTTTAATTTTCTTTCAGTAGCTGTCAGATTAAAATCAGATCAGTACGTAAAATTTACGTACGTTAGTAGTCTAGGGTTAAAGAGAGATAGTATCAGAGAAAAACACACTGCGTATAAATATCAAAATGGTATGGACATAACCTATTAAGCGTTTACTGAACATTATTGTTTTAAGAATATCTTACTATACAGATCATACATAAGTTTTAGAATATAATATAAAAATCAAACGATTTGTATAGTTAGAATAATCCACAAATATAATATTACTATAAACACTAATACAATATAATGTATAATAAAGAGTAAAAAGAATAATTTTTACCTTTTTGTTTCAGACTTTTGTAGTTGTAAGTAAAGGCAAGGACATTTTTCGGTTTAGTGCAATAAATGCTCTTTGGATACTTGACCCTTTCAACCCAATAAGGCGAGTGGCTATTTACATCCTCGTTCATCCGTTATTTTCACTTTTCATCATTACAACCATCCTTGTCAACTGTATCCTTATGATAATGCCTACAACTCCCACCGTAGAATCAACCGAGTAAGTATAATTTTTATAGTATAATTTTAATTTTATTTATAAAACCTGATATTAAACTATAGTAAAGTTACACTCTCTCCACGCTATAGTAAAGAAAAAGAAACACCGCAAACGACCAACGAAGATCGTAGAAAACTGCGAAACACTTCCTGATTTGTATTTGAATTTCATGTTCTTTATTAGTAACCTAATCACAATATAATATTTCCAGTCTAAAGTAGAAAAATGATAACTCAAGTCCAAAAGTATTTTTTGAATTCCTATATTATATAAATTTAATCTTTATTTAAAAATGTTTTTAATATTGTTTTTACCACTTTGTTCACATCAATCGGTAAAACTAAGTAAAAAACTCATAATGATTTGATAAATGATTTGAAAAGTTTTAAAATCATTATCAATGAACTGGAATACGAAACACCGCTTCATGTAAACTTCTCAAATCATTTAAAAAGAACCTGAATAGTTTTACCTCATATACGCAGGATGGATCTAGTACCTAATGTTAACCGTATAGGCTATTTATTATGTTCAAAAAATATAGTTAAAAGGAACTACAACGTTAAATAGGTCTTATTGTTTCATAGGAAAACCGCGCAGTGCTACCATTTAAAGAGGTGCGTTTTTGAGAAAGGGTAAATTAGTCACTATGCACTAGCGTGCAATTGGTAAATTCTATGTAGTTTTCGCACATATACAGTAAAGTTGTTCAAAAATAAATTTCCTATCGAAATGTCACCTTTTAACTTAAAAATATATTTTTTTGACATAATATATTAAAAAAACTAAGCACAAAAAATAGAAACAATTTTTCCATAGGGGTATACGTATAGGCATTGATTTACAGAAAAAAAAACTTCTATCCTTCTTCTTCAAAATGGCGTTTGGCAAAAGTCTTTAGAATTCACAGGATCCGAGATACGATTCTTCAAATTTTGCCAGCGTAGTTTTTTCTGTAAACCAATACCTATTCCCATATCCCTGTGGAAAAAAGTTATGGGACAGGAAAGGAAAATTGCGTGTGTTCATTTTTTTTTCTTCGTATTTACATATATGTAGTGTAAGTAAATCTTATTGGAATTTCACGTAATAATACAAAAAAACAAATCATTACACATTAAACTAAACTATATTGAAGTGAAAACGCACATGTAAAATATGTTGTAAACAATAAATTTAAAGGGAGACCTGCCCTGGCAAGGTATGGTTAAGTTGTACTGATATCGTACTCCTATATAGTTTTTAATAAAAACAAGTGGTTTTATTAAATAGTTGTTTTAAAATTAAAGTGTTTATCTATTAAATACTACTACGTAAGTTATCTATACGTAATTAATATTTTATTAGTGTGAAAAGAAAACGTCAATAATAAAATATATACTACCGTACAATCATTTTGTGAGGTTAGCTGTTATAAGTACCTTATAGTAGCATGCGGTTAGTTTTTCACTTACCAGAGTCGGAGTAAGGCCTTCGCAGGCCTTAAATGACTTCACAGAATGTAAACACACCTTCCGATCTAACCAGTCCAGTAAATCAACTTTCGAATATCACAAACAGTTATGCATCAGCCGCTTCACACTCTTTTCCGAGTAAGACCCAAGCAATTGTATTTAGTTGCATCGATACTGCTAAACTGCAGGATTATCTCATTCCTTTGGGCACAATCATCAACCCAAAAAATATTATTTTTTCATCTAGATTATCTCATAATAGAATCTGCATGTATTTGGCAAACAAAACCGTAGTAGATAACTTCATGACACAACATGGCTCTATAGAAGTACTCGGCGAAGTTGTAACAGCACGAAGACTTGTCTTTCCAGCAGAAAGACTAGTCTTGTCTGTAGTCTGCCCGTCAATTCCTCATATATCTATAATCATATTCCTCTATAACATCACCAATTCCAGATTCTATTCCAATAAATTTTGATCAAACACCTTACCGCATATTTTTGTCACAAGGTACACTTACCTGCTTTATTTGCAAAAATACAGGACACATATCATCCCAATGCAATAACAGTTCAGTAACGGAATCAACTCATATTGAGTCAAACAATGAAGTACCAAATTAAACAGCTTCAACAAGTATACTACACAAGGTACCAAACACCCAGCAGTCATCAAGTTATCCATTATCAAATCCAAGCATATCACCTACACCTACAAATCTCCATGACAAAGAAATTACTAACGCTCCTACTCATAACAACACTTTCAATCAACCTCATTCAGTAGCAATACCGTTTTCACAAACTTCGGAAGCAATATCCTCCAATCTATCAGCTCCTTTTTCATTAGATACAACTGCAGAAAATTCTAATAAAACTGATACATCAAGACAATTTTCTGAAACAACCATTTCAACCAATCTTATAAATAAAACTTTAAGCTCGAGTTCTGTCACTACCAAGGAGTTTACTCCAGTACTTCCAAATGTAATAATGCCACTGCATCTAAGTGAAAACTCTAATAGCAATTACGAAAACACAAGTTCTTCCATAAAACGCAGTATTAGTGGGATCGTCACGCCTCCTTCAGACTCAGTAATTTCATCAGAAAATCTGTTTGCAAAACTCAAACCCTCTAAACCAAAAAAACCGCGCTCATCTAAAGTCCCATCTACATGGGAAACTCTTGAAAATTTTATTGATAATCATACCCCACCATTCGTTTTAAATTACCATCAATTGTCCTTACTGATTGATAATGTCCAAGGCTCCTCCGACACTATTAGCAAGGTCAAAGAATTTACAACTGATATGGATGGTTTACTCCATCTTTTACTATCAATATGCAAATGATAGATCTACAAAAAGCAAGTTTACAAAACTTCAAAAGAAACCACACAATCATTTAGAGAAAGAGATTTCTGACTTAGATAGTGACTCTTCCTTAGGCAATTGTTGAGTATCATCTAACTCCGAATCTGTGAACAATATTCAACTCGATACTTCAATGGAACATTGATGGATTTTTTCATCGTCTCCCTATGCTACAGCTTCTTTTATCTAAACATTCTCCAGATATTATTAATTCTTATGAACATGGAAGAAGCGTCCAATTTTTATGGGTTCCCTCACACGTCGGAATAACAGGAAATGAAGAAGCTGACAGGACTGCACGAGAGGCAATGTTAAGTGATTTGTCAAAGCCGATAGACAAGTGTGTTTTTAGTGACTTAGAAGCTTATTTTAAAAATAAAGTGTGGTATTTGTGGCAAAATGAGTGGTCTCAAACTAATTCCAATCTAAATAAAATCAAAAATAATGTGTCTCAGTGGTTTCCATCGTCGCTCAATAGACGAGAACAAATTGCGGTTGCGCGTTTACGCCTAGGACATACCAGATTAACGTACTCCTACCTTTTCACAAAGAAAAATCCACCTATATGTGATCAGTGTAACGTCCGATTAACAGTCGAACATTTTTTAACAATTTTTAGTAAATATGACCAAGAAAGACAGCGCTACAAGATCCCAAACGCTCTACTACAGGCTCTAGGTCAAAACTGTTCCTGTAACAATATAGTGAATTATCTTAGATCCATAAACATTTTGTACGATCTGTAGGTGTTTAACTTTGTTTTTTATATTTTGTTCCGTCGCTAATAACCTTTTGGTGGATGCGACATCTTTTTCTAATAAAAAAATTAATTTAAAAATAGCATCCTTAGCGTAAGGATGTTCTGTTAAGACTCGGGTGTGGACTGTGTCTCTCTTCTCCACGTCACTAGCGGCATCCCCTCTCGAGGGGTGTAAAATGAACGTCGGGTTGTACTTAACTAAAGTGTAGTATACGGGGTTGCTCGAAAGTTTTAACAATATATTTTTGTCAAAAAAAAATTTTTTAATTAAAAAATTTAAAATTTTATTTTAAACAACTTTTCTATAAATAATGTATATATACGAAATGTAGTGTTCACTTGAATATCGTAGAGTAACCACGTATTCCGAAGAGTGCGATAGCAAAAAGTGACCACCGATAAGAACAATTCAAATCTAGTTATTCAAATTCTAGTTATTAAAATATACAGTAAAGTGGCAATGGCGTACCAAATTCTGTTTTCTACAATCAGGAACATGTACCCAATTCCCCAACAATATTCGCCACTAGAATACACATCAGAACATGCACCAAACCACATATACTGACAACCGATAATAATACTCCTATATCCAACATTCCACAAAATCAATTCGCTCTTCCACCACAACCACAACAATTTCCACCACAACGCCAATCAATTTACTACAACCCAAGCAATCCATCTACTATAGGGGAGACCTCAAACGCAAAGTTAAAACTTGCAATTACACATTCAGAAAACTCTGATATAAAGTTTAGCGAAGACGACGATCAAGAAACACAAAATAAAAACTCATGGCAAGTAGTCAAAACACATAAAGTTTCAAAACAAAATAACGATCCCAATTCTCCCAAGCTCACCACCAATAAAAATATAAAATTGATATAGTGCATTATCAAACGTCGAGAGCACTGACCAAATTAAAACAGAAGAACAACAGAAAATACCAAAACCACCTCCAATATTCGTACCACACTTACTAAATAAAGGAAGAACGTGCGTAAAGAGTGGTAATAGGACATATTCATCACTCTATACCCACAACAGATATAACAAAGGAACTTTCGCTAGAGAAAGTTCGCAATATAACTAACATTCGACACAGACAAACAAAGGAACCCTTGTCTTTATTTTTTATAGGACTTGAACCCAACAGTAACAACAAAGACATATTTAACATAGAAGTCTTATGTCACACCAAAATAGCAGTCCAGGCACCAAATAAGAGAAACTCAATCATCCAATGCATACGATGCCAAGCATACGGCCATAGTAAGATATATGCAGTAAACCGCACTACTGAGTCAAATGTGGAAGACAACATGATACAAAAGATTGTAAAAACCCTAGAAACACTCCAGCTGAGTGTGCACTATGCAAACAAGATCACTTTGCGAACTATAAGGGCTGTGTAGTCTATAGGGAACTAGTAAAAAAGATACATATGCTGAAGAGAAGAAATTAACAGTCTCAACATTCAACAGCCCACATGTATGTACTGAAACAGATTAACTTAACACCACTCTACGAAACCATCAAAGAACATATGCAAACATGACAGCATATCAAACCAATCACGATTCAGAACCTAAAACTAATATAGAACAACAACTATTAACATTCCTAAAAGAGTTCAAAAACATGCTCTCGTTACTCATGACTCAAAATAGTATGATACTAAACATACTAACACGAGTCATTAACAAAAGAAAGTCTTAAACATACTTAAAGTTGCTACATGAAACACTAATGGCCTGCTAAATCATAATCAGGAAGTAATTACTGTCTTAAACCTAAATAAAATTGATGTTCTGCTTATTTCAGAAACTCACTTTACCGATCTAAGAACGTTCAATATTCCACTCTATACCACATACACCACACCTCATCTCGATGGTACAGCTCATGATGGCTCGGTAGTAACCATCCACATGCAACAAAAAAAATACAAGCAGGAATCATTCAAGATAATGAAAGTTTATTATATCTGCAATGTATAGCCCTCCTCGTCACGCAATCTCCACAAATAAATACAAAGACTTTTTTCAGTTACTTGGCAATAAATTGGTAGCTGGGAGAGACACAAATGTCTCTGGGAATTCGAAACACTGGGGCTCAAGACTCACAACAACAAAAGGTCATAATCTTCTAAAAGCAATGACCGACAACAACTATGATTTCCATACCAACGGAATTCCTACGTACTGACCAAGTGACACCAGAAAACTTCCAGATCTTTTGGACTACTACATAAACAAAGAAGTATCTAGAAACCACTATCTAATAAAATCCATCTATGATCTCTTACAGGATCATACACCGGTTATTATGAGTCTGAGTACCACAGTTATAAACAACCCTCCACCTCCTCGACTCACGTCAAAAAACACCAACTGGGCAGATTTTCAATCTTTTTTTTGAACCTATTTTCTATCCTTTCATTGTTGGATATAGGTCTCCCCCAGTTCTCTCCATCTTTCCCTATCTTGAGCTGTTCTCTGCCATGTGGGACCTCCTTGTTTCCTGATGTCATCTTTCCACCTCATCTGTGGTCTGCCTCTTGATCTCTTTGCATTGTATGGACGCCACTTTCCGATGGCATTGTTCCATCGTCCGTCTTGGAGACGTTTATTGTGTCCAGCCCATTTCCATTTCAGTTTTGCTGCTTGTTCTATCGTTTCTACTGTCTTTGTTCTGGTTCTGATCCACTGGTTACGTTTTCTATCTCTAAGTGATACATCCAACATTTGTCTCTCCATCGCTCTTTGTGCCTTCCTTATCCTATCCAAATTGGCCTGTGTAAATGTTCATGTCTGTGCTCCGTAGGTGAGCACCGGTATTATACAGGAGTTATATACCTTGCTTCGTAAGTATAGAGGGATTGTTTGATTTTTTAGAACGTAAGAAAGTTTGCCGAACGCAGTCTCGATATTTCGGCTGTTTGATTTTCTCTGTTAGCTCTGATTGCTTGTCCTAGATAGATATACTCATTTACCTGTTCTATTTTTTCTGTTTTTATTTTTATTGCCTCTTGGTCTTCCGTGTTTGTCATTACTTTTGTTTTGTTGAAGTTAATTTTTAGGCCTTTTTGCAGTGATTTTTCATGAAGTTCATTCAGCATTAATTCCAGTTCTTGTCGTTCCGAGGATATCAGGATCATCCACATATCTAAGATGATTTAGGTATTTTCCGTTAATACATATTCCTCTGTTTTCCCAATCTGTTGATTTTATTATGTCTTCAAGGGTCAAGGTAAACAGTTTAGGTGAAATTATATCGCCTTGTCGGACTCGTTTAACTTTTATATTATCCGTTATTAATTTGTCGTCCAGAATGACGGTCATGGTTGCGTTTTGGTAAATATCATGTATCAATTGTCGGTATCTTGAATCTATTCTACTATTGACCAGAGCTTCTTCAACCGCCCAGTGTTCAATGCTGTCGAAAGCCTTTTCATAATCTACGAATGCTAAGTACAGCGGAAGGTTGTATTCATTGGTTTTCTCAATTAAGATTTTAAGCGCATGCAGATGGTCGATTGTGCTGTATCCTTTCTTGAATCCCGCCTGTTCCACTGGTTGGTAGTTATCAAGTTTATAGGTTAGTCGGTTGTTTATTATTCTTGTGAAGGTCAATCTTACCTAGAATAAAACACCAAATCACACATCAATCATCAAAACACATCAAATTTACACATGATATAGATACAACAGCTCAATACTTCTCCACACTTGTGCAAAAAGCAGCATGACAATGTACACCACGAACTGAACGCAAATCAACACATACCATAAATGTTCCCCTGTACTTTCGCCAACTCATTGCTGAAAAACGACGTGCGAGGACAACCTGACAAAGATCTAGAAACAACATAGACAACTACATAGTCAACTTGGAGTAGCCATCAAAGCCGCACATAACGAAACCTTTGAACAATACATTATAAACCTTACAGCTGATGACCAAACATTATGGAAGACGACTAAGAAGCTTAAGATAGACAACTATCTCTCCCATCCGTAAACCAAATGTTAACTGGGTCTCGTCCTATTGAAGTCAAGAAAGAAATAAACAAACTCAACTCGCGAAAGGCCCCAGGTTATGATTTAATCTCGGCACAAGTACTAAAACAACTTCCTCGCAAGAGGAAGGCTAACAGTTATATTTAACCGCATGCTAATCATACTTTCCAAAAATATGGAAACTTGCTGAAATCATTATGTTCCTCAAGCCAGGAAATGAGAAGAATGAAGTAACATCGTATCGACCCATTAGCCTAATACCAATCGTAAGCAAAGTTTTTGAAATATTGCTGCTACAAAGAATATACGCAGATCGTGAATTCCTAACACTACTACCAAAATATCAGTTTGGTATTCGGGAAAATCACTCCACTACCCAACAAGTCCATCGAATTATAAATGAAATATTAAAAAGTTTTGAAGAAAAGAAATACTGCAACGCTATATTTCTAGATATCTCACAAGCGTTTGACAAAGTCGACAAGACAAAGTTAATTATTTCCTCCTACTTAAATCCTACAGATCAAATAGATATTTCTCTGTAAAATTCAAAGACCAAAAATCCAACCTCTGTCCTGCCAATTCCGGAGTCCCGCAGGGTGGTGATCTAGGGTCGCTGCTTTTTTCACTCTACACAGCCGATATACCAGAGACCAATAATACTACAATCGCTTCCTGTACTGACGACGTAGCAATACTAGCTGTAAATGAAGATCCCATACAAGCCTCACAAAACCTGCAACATCATCTGAACATACTCAGAGATTGGTATACGAAATGAAGAACAAAAGTAAATAAAACAAAATCAACTCAAATAATATTTACAAACCGTCACAACATATGCTCATCTGTAAGAATGGACAATGTAAGAATACCTACAGTAACAGACGCTAAATACCATGGCCTCCATCTTGACCAACGTCTCACATGGAAGAAACATATCAAGACTAAAAGAAAACAGCTCGACTTAAAATTCCAGCAAATGTATTTGCTCCTTGGACGTAAATCAAAACTTAACATCCAAAACAAAATTATTGTGTACAAAGCTATACTCAAACCTAACTGGTTCTACGGAATACACCTATGGGACTGTCCAAAGCAAATGTCGCTGAATATCATCCAAAAATTCCAGTCTAAAGTGCTAAGATCGATAGTGGATACACCATGGTACGTAAGTAATTACATACGATTCACCACGAAATTGAGCTAGTAAGGGAATTAGTCAATAATGGTCCAGCCACAAGAAGACTAGATAGAACCTGGCCCCAAGACTTACTTCAAAACTAAACCAAAATAGAATAATCAGAAGAATCATTGGATATCTCTACTTCACGCGTAAAACCTGTAACACATTTACTTAATACTCTGTATATTGTAAATAAACATAATTATAATAAAAAAATATGTACGAAAAGTGCATAGAACTCACCAAAATCTACCCGAGTACATAGGGACTAATTTTCACCCTTTCCTTAAAAAATGCACCCCTTTAAATGATAGCACTTCGCGGTTTTTTTTATAATTGGGGATCATTGACTATTTAAAATAATAAAATTCCATTGACGTTGTAGTTCCTTTCTAAAGTACATAATCAATAACCTAATAGTCGGTATTACAGTAATACTTTTTTTCTTTTCAGAGTAATATTCACAGGCATCTACACGTTTGAATCAGCTGTGAAGGTGATGGCGAGAGGTTTTATACTTCAACCGTTCACCTACCTTAGAGATGCATGGAACTGGCTCGACTTCGTAGTCATAGCTTTAGCGTGAGTAGATTAGTCTTAGAATAGTTCATTCAGTAATATCTTAATAGAATAGTTGATAATTTTGATTCTTGGTTCACTCTACAGAACAGTTCAACACTATAGTTGTTATTCTCGCCATCTTCATGACTTCGTGACGTTAAAGCTTCTAATATCTATATGATTATACCATGTAGGCAAAAAATGTAACCTCTCCGTTTATCTAGTTGGTACGATAAAATTTACTGTTCAACATGGATAAGACCTTACAGCGGGGTAGTGGTATATTTTAGATCTACTTGGTATGGTAATCAACTTGTTATTTCTAGTAGAAGTTTTCAGAAAAAGTTTGGTTATTGTGCGAAATATTTGTTATTTTTGATATCTTAGCTTTTATAAAAACTTTAAAACTAAATATAACAATTTTGAAAAAATAAAAAGAATGTATAAACCGAAACTATTCATTATTTTATATGCGTAGGCTTTTATATACTTTTTATTTGCCAAGGCCCACTCTCAGAGTATATGCGTCTATTAACTCTATAAAATTTATTTAATCCAAATACTTATTTATCTTTAGATATTTTTCCTTTGACGATTTTTATAACCTAGTGATAGACTTTATTCTTCAGATGGTCTATCTATTGGTCTAAGCAGTTGGTACGGGGTAGTTTTCTAACTAACCTAGTTATCAGACATACAAAATGGTCCTGTATCATTTTTGGTTTTATTTTTACCTTACCTAAAGACTGGAACTTTTAACAATTCCATATTAACCAACTCTTATTAACTTATCAGATTATATATTACCTTCTTCTTCTTCATGTACCATGTCCTTTCAGAACGTTGGTTACCATCATATCTATTTTTTTCACTGCCACCCTAAATAGCATGCTTGTATCAACACCATAGCAATCTCGCAAGTTATTCAACCATGAGGTTCTTTTTTGTCCTGGACTGCGCTTGCCTGATATTTTTCCTGGCATGATATTTTGTAGCAACCTATATTTTGGGCCTCTCATTATATGTCCGAAATACTCCAGCTTTCTCTGCTTGATGCTTTTTATGATCTCGGTAGTCTTGCTGAGACGTTGTAGTGTTGTGGAGTTTCGAATCTTCTCCACCCAGAAAACTTTTAAAATTCTTCTATAGCACCACATTTCGAGAGCCTCAAGCCGATTTAGATCGATTTAATTCACAGTCCATGACTCGAGACCATAAAGTAAGATCGAGAACACGTAGCAGCAAAATAGGCAGATCCTTTATCAGATATGGCTGGTTGAGCCCAATATCCTAGTATTATGTAAATTTTATCCAAAGGGGCAGTGACCAGAGTACTTTCTTAAATTTTCTCTTTTTGTCGTAACAGGTTCGAATCGAAGATTTTCTTATACCTGGGGGTTTCTCTATTCAAAGCCGTAGTTACTTTCTAGTCTTCTTTTAGTTCCATGAATATTATCAATCATTTGAAATCATGCTTCTTACTATATTCAACATTATGGTTTGCTTGACATGAGTTGATATAAATAATTATGTCACCGATAGTCCATGCCATTCTCTTTTTATCTTTTTTGAGGACGATGAAATTTTCATAAGACCGTTAGGGCAGAACGCAGAATCTTAAGAAACCTGGGTACTGCGCTTCCCCTGGTGTGTGACATTCAGTCCGCTTGCTCGATCAAGACACTCGTGAGGCCAAGCCCACCTATCGTGAGAACGCGACTACCTACCCTAAAAACCCCGCCGCGGGCACCTGGTACGTGTTCTTAGGAAACGTTACTTCGGCTGCCCTGCTGCTGACCATCTAGCTACTGCATGTCAGTAATGGCGACAGTGAGAAGGAGTAGTTTATCTTTTAACTTGTAGTCTTCTGTCACTCTTTCATCTTTTATCCTGTCTCGCTTTCTCTCCCGTGTTTTCTTTTGTTATTATTTCTGTTATTTGGTCTACTATCACTTTTAAGTTCTCTACTGCTTAAATGGCTACAGTCATTATATTCTCTGGTGTTGCCTCTTCTAGCCTTGTTCTCATATCTTGTTGATTATGGTGAAAAACGTTGCAATGGAATACACGATGCTCTGCGTCGTCGCTCACTAAACATTTTATACATAAATCTGGTTCAGTTTTTCTTATGCGATATGTACAAGAGCTAAATAAGCCGTGTCTGGTTAGGAATTGTGTAAAAAAGTAATTTGTTCTTTTAAACTCACATTTATACCACTCTATCACATCTAGAATTAGTGCCTTTGTCTATTGTGCTTTTTCTGTCTGTACATCCCATTCTTGTTGCCGTTCATTTGGCAATTGTTTTCTTAACTCGGCTTTCACACGTGTTAGGTGGCCGTTATCATTTTCGTATAAGATCTAAGGTTCTTTCGCTAGGAGGTAAATATGAAGCTTACCCGCAATCATCTGTAGGGATATCGTCGATGTAGTGTGGTACGCACATATTACCTTGAGAAGGGGTTTTCTTTGGGTTTAAACCACATTTACCTTAGATCTTTGTTTGTATTGTCAAATTTAAAGCTCATATGTTTTCAGTCTATCTCATAATGTAATCGAAGTATTCCAGGCTGCCTAAAAAGTATATGTTCTTACATTCTTCGCACACTTGTTCGATTTAACAGTTGCTATTACTCAGGACCATTGTATTGATTGGCCATTGTGACAATCGAAAAAATTAGATCTTTACTTAAGTACTTTCCTGGTAACTTCCTATCTGTTCTTTCAGACGTTTTTGATCTTGAGAACAAACGCTGGTAGGCATTTGCATCTTATTTAGCTACGGATATTTAATTTGTACTATAACAAGCATATATGGGAAATGTTCCCTTTTCCGCTAAGTAGGGAGACTTCTAATGAGAGACTAGAAACCACACATGAAATTTTCTATTTTCTATTTTCTAGCTAGTTTTTTTAATCTTAGTTTTTTATGAATGTAGACTTTTCAATAAGTTGCAGTCATTTGGAAAGTGTTCCCGTCTTATTTAAGTTATAATTCTATCCAGTAGAACATTGTAAGAGATATAGGCTCGCCAAGTATTTGTACTGGTCCTCTGTGCGTCATATTATTTATTTCCAAAGGCTTTTCCTAAATTTAAACTTTATCAGACGAACCATATCCAATAGTACCTACCTATTTGAATATCATTTCTTGGTATATTTTTTGGGCTTACAGTTATTTCTTAAATTGTCAATACTCTTTTAACATCCAAAATCATTATCATCATTATGATAGTCGCTGATAGTCGCACTTAAGATTAGTCGCCATTCTGTTTAGTTTCTTGCAATATGTTGCCATCTTCTGATCTCTAGTATCTCTAAGTTGGTCTCAACTTCATCTAACCACCTAATTCGCGGTTGGCCTTTGCTTCTTCTTCTCATAGGTGTTCCTGTAGTTAGCTTTTTAGCAATCATGTTGTCAATCATTCATATTATGTGTCTGGCCCATTTAAATTGCTGTGTTTTAATGAACGTTACGACCTCTGTAGAGTAGAGAAACTCGTGTATCTCGGCAGTAATATCAATGAGAGCTGGGATCCAATCGCAGAAATTAAAAGCCGAATAGAACAAGCCCGAGCTGCCTTTGTAAAAATGAGAAACGTACTTTGCAGTCACGATCTTAGCATTGACCTTAGAGTTCGTATGACATCTTGCTACATCTTTCCTGTCGTGCTGTATGGAGTGGAAGCGTGGACTCTAACTGAGGCTATGCTTAAACGCTTGACAGCCTTTGAGATGTGGGTATACAGACGACTACTGAAAATAAGCTGGGTCGACAGAGTTAGAAATGAGGAGGTCCTTAGGCGGCTGAGCCAAACAACACAACTGGTCAATATAATAAAGAAACACAAGCTGGAATACTTCGGTCACATTATGAGACACCCTGAAAAATATGATCTTCTACATCTGATCATTTAGGGAAAGATCCAAGGTAATCGTGGTCCTGGTAGACGAAGAACATCATGGCTGAAAAATCTAAGGCAATGGTATGGAAAATCAACCACATAGTTATTTAGAGCTGCTGTCAATAAAGTCACGATAGCGAATATGGTAGCCAACATGATATCCAACGATCGATAACGGTTATAGAACTAGAAGAAGAAGACGACCTCTGGTTCATTAAAGAGTTGATATAATTCGAAATTAAACATTTTGCGACACTGTCCTTGATTGTTTATAGCTCCAAATATTTTGCAGAGTATCTTACGCTCGAATTGTCCATGTTTCCACCCCGTATGTGAGGACTGGCTTCCGCAGTGTTTTGTGCATAATAATTTTAGTTTTTTTTTGATATTTCTTAAGTTTAATTGTTTTTGGAGTCGATAGTATGCCATATTTGTAATGTTTATTCGTCTTTTAATTTCTTTGCTTGGTTTCTGGGTAGTAGTTACTAGCTACCCAAGATATGTCAAGCTGTCAACATGTTCAAAGATATGACTTCCAAATACTGTTTCCCGTTCCGCATTTGCTATAGGATCCTTAGTAACCAACATATACTTGGTTTTATCTTCGTTGATGACTGGACCGACCTGTTTTGTCGCTGTTTCCAATTTTAGGAAATATTGTTCAGTATCTCGCTTGCTACGCCCTATTTTGTCAATGTTATTAGCGTATGCTAAGATTTGTATCGATCTATTAGGTGTGTCTTGGACTGCCTTTTCCATGGCAACGTTAGAGGGCAAGCCAGGGCATCCACTTTTCTGAGTCCACCCTTTATCTGACTGAAAGGATCGATAATTTTTTCCCTGTATTCTAACGCTGACTTCTAAGTTAGACATTGTCATTCTCGTTAATCAGATAAGTTTTTCTTTTATACCAAACTCACGCATTGATAGGTATAGTACTGTTCTCTTGACACTGTCGTATGCGGCCTTGAAATTGACGAATAGGTGATGGGTTTCAATGCTAAATTCTAATGTTCAGTGTAAACATCCAAAATTAGTATTTAAAATATTTTTGTAATTGTAGTTCATTTATGAATCGTTTTACAATATATTACAATAACGTAAAAGTACAAAACA